TCGCATCCACGTCAGACCCCTCAGCCCGGCCTTTCGGGACAGGCAGGCTAGGGAAATTTTGTCAGCAGCCCGAATACGCAAGAATCCAAGCGGCTCGCCAAAAGGCGCGCACTTGAGACTTCCGACCGTCGTGGCGGTCACTAAACCCGGCGCCAAGTCCAAGTCAAAAGCCGGATCGTGAAAATAGTACTTACAAAAATAATAAAATGAGGCAACCGGCATCCTCGCCGACTTCATAATCATCAACAGGGGAAAGCCATCACGCGCCGTCCTACAACACCCCGCTCACCGCACGAAGTCGCGCTGTCATTGCTGATGCCGTCGTCGAGGTTGTTTTCCGCACGCGCGCAGGTCTTAGTCAAACACACCAATCAAAAGAAAAATATCCTTAATTCCTGCTTAATCAAAAATTAACAAACAATAATAATAATACTCTTAGACAAAACGACCGGTGTCCGTGCCGGCCTTACGATCAACAACAAAAAGAATCACGCGCGCCTTAAACGTGCACGCCCACGCACTCTCTACTCTAGTCAACCACCCTTGTTAACGTAAATTACAGACGCGGCCGCGCCTAGCGCGGTATACTTAAATTTTAACCCAGACCATTTTCTGTTACTTGCACAAAACAGGGCGGATACCCTTGTAAGGGTTTTCGCGCCGACAGCGGGATAGAGTAATTCTTCCGGCATCCCGAACACGAAGGAACCCGTAGGTCAACGAAAGGAGGTGCACGCTCAAAGCTCTCGACCGTCGCGATGACCTCCAAATCCAGCGTCGCGCCTTAGTAAAAAAACACCGGAATAAAATCATAATAATACAACAATAAAATAATAAAAATATTTAGAAACTTTTAATCATTAAAATATGACGAACAGGGGAAAATAATCGCTAGTACCGTGTCGTCTCCGCCGATGGCAAAACTAAGGGGGATAGCGCCGTCGGGCCCTCAACCCCTCGGTCCCTTTGCGCTACTCTAATACTTTTGTGGTGCCACTCGCTGGCCTCGATTCCTGAATCCTGTGGATGAAAGTTCAACGTCGTAACCAATAGTGTTAGGCCCAAGGCTGGGCCTAGTATTACCGGACACCTATATAAGCAAGTATTGCGTAGCGTGCGGATCTACTGAAACATTTAAGAGCCACACTTTTGTTGATGTCATCCTCCGTACGAGCACAAGTCGCGCTCAAGCGCTTCAATCATCAGATATCCTTTTAGTCATAGTTTAATCGAAACAACAAACTCGGCCGATACCTGCGTCGACTCTTATCAACAAGGAAAGAGATCATGCACACCTTAAATCTGCGCGCCCACACACTCTCTACTCTAGTCAATCATCCAGTCAACGTAACAACAGACACCCCCACGACCCGCGCGATGTAATCAGACCCCAAACCTCTGATTTTCTGTCACTTGCAAAAACTAGGGCGGATACCTTTGTAACGGTATTCGCACCGACACCGCCGGCCACCACCCCCTCTCCCCCTTCATTCTTGTCTCGCCTTCATTTCCTGATCTCTCATCAGAAGATGTTGTGCCTTTTTAGAGGCACCCCTTTTTCTTTCTAATTTTTTGGAGATTCTTTCAATGAGGGACACTGGACCCCGTTTCCAGGAGCCTAATGTTGGGTAAGGGCTCCAGAATTGTGGGGTGTTTTCCCGGGCCTCTGTCTCTCAGGGCGTACTCACACGGAGACCAAAAGTCTCAAAATTTTAAGGCATTTGGTTCGTTTTTTTTGAGGTTTTTGGTCACCGTGTGGTCACACGGGCGGACTTCGTCCAGAAAGGACGAAGTTGCGACCCTGACACTTTGCACTCAGGGCAAGTGCGCCCGGTCACACAGGGGAGGACCAAACAAAAAGATAAAATTTGTTTTTCTCTTTCTTTTCACCCCAGTATAACATGCGGGCCTTTGCCACAATGTAAATGTTTCTGGTCGCACTTCAAATTGTTTGGCGGGAACATTGAAAAAAAAAACCGAAAGGTAATTTGAGACCACCTCTGGAGGTGGTCTCAAAAAGGGTCCTCCCGCGGCCCTGCAGGCCGCTGACAAAAGGGTCACCATTTGAGGCATTTGGGTAGTGGGCCTCTCAAGTGTGACCCGAAAACTGACTCAAATTTTGGGATTTAGGGTCTTTTGGTCCTCGTGTGAGTATGCCCATACTCACATGGGAACCTATATTCCCAAAATCCCCAAAAAAAGGGGAAAAGGTCGGTCACACGGATCTACCAAATTCGCAAATGTACTATTCCTGTGCGCATTTGTCAGCGGCTTGGGAAGCCGTGAGGCAAGGGATGTTGAGGTCACCTCTGGAGGTGACCACAAATGCCCTTTTTTTTTTTTTGCATTTTCTTCAAACATTGGCAAAAAATCGTTCACAAAAGTTCTTGCACAATTTGCGGATGGCACCATGTGACCAGCCAAGTACCAAATCCCCATTTCTCCAGACGGCCGCGACCTTGTCCCATCTGAAAAGGTACAGCAGTGTGACATGAACCATGCCCAAAACCTCAAATTGGCCCTTCCCAAATCCGCATATTTGGGGTCGCAGTGTGAGGGCATACTAACACGGGGACCAAAAGTCTAAAAAATTTGAGGCATTTGGTTTGTTTTTTTTGAGGCATTTGGTCCCCGTGTGGTCACACGGGCGGACCTCCTCCACCCTGACACTTTGCATTCAGGGCAAGTGTGCCCGGTCACACGGGGGAGGACCAAACGAAAAGAGGGATTGTTTTAATTTAATTTTTCAGGCTAGTATAATGCTTGGGCCTTGTCTACAAGGTAAATGTTCCTGGTCGCACTTTCCTGTCTCTTATACACATCTAGATGTGTATAAGAGACAGGCTTGGGCCTTGTCTACAAGGTAAATGTTCCTGGTCGCACTTTCAGTTGTTTAGCGGGCTGTCTTCTTCCTCTACTATTCTCTTCAAACGAAAAGAGGGATTGTTTTAATTTAATTTTTCAGGTTAGTATAATGCTTGGGCCTTATCTCCAAGGTAAATGTTCCTGGTCGCACTTTCAGTTGTTTGGCGGGCTGTCTTCTTCCTCTCCTATTCTCTTCAATTCGCGAACGTAGGAAGAAAAAAAAAAAGAGAAAACTACAGCGCAGTCAGGGTTTGGGTTTGTAATTGCACTTGAGGCAAAAGGGCCGGTAATGCTGAATGTATATGACCTACGTTTCCGGTCCGGTGGGGTCGCGTGGGGGTGTGTTGTATTCACGGGATTGCCTGAAGTGCAATTACAAACTGTTTTCGTGACTGCGCTGAAGTTACCCCAAAAACAAAAGGAAAGGTAATTTGAGACCACCTCCGGAGGTGATCTCAAAAAGGGTACGCCTGCGACCCCGCAGGCCGCCGACAGGCCGCCGACAGGCCGCTGACAGGCCGCTGACAGAAGGGTCACCCTTTGAGGCATTTGGGTAGCGAGCCTCTCCAGTGTGACCCGAAAAATGACTCAAATTTTGGGATTTGGGGTCTTTTGGTCCTCGTGTGAGGGCACGCTCACACTGGGTACCAAAACCGTAAAACTCCCAAAAAAATGTGCACACGGCTGGTCACACACAATGGTTCCGACCCCAAACAACCCATTCGCAAACCCATTTGTCAGCGGCCTGCCTGGCCGCGGGTTTGCGGAATTTGCTGTAACCTCCAGAGGTTACGGCAAAATGGTTCTTCTTTTTTTATTTAATTTTCGTAAATGAATGCAAAGTTGAAAAGGGAACATGTACCTTCTATATTTGGGGTTACTTCTATGTGACTGGAAACCCCAAACAGCAGCACCCTGATGGCACGGTAGCGACCGTGTCTTTAGCGAAATGGGAATGCAGTGTGACCTGAAAGGTCCCAAATACCCCAATTCGGCCCAACCCATTTTCGCATTTTATACGGATTTGCTACCGCAATGTGAGCGTGCCCTGAGTATGCCCTGAGTATGCCCTGAGAACCCAAGTCCGCGAAATATGCGGATTTGGGAAGGGCCGATTCGGCCATGGTTCAAGTCACCCTGCTGTACCTTTTCAGATGGGACAAGGTCGCGGCCGTCTGGAGAAATGGGGATTTGGTACTTGGCTGGTCACACGGCGCCATCCACAAATTGTGCCAGAGCTTTTGTGAACAAAATTTTGCCACTTTTCGAAGAAAATGCCGAAAAATAAATAGGGCACCTGGGTTCGCCTCCTGCGCCGCGGCTTCCCAGGCCGCTGACAAATGGGCACACCAATAGTACATTCGGTACTTCGGCAAATCTGTAGGATAGGTCCGCTACCTTTTTCTTGGGGGATTTGGGAGTATAGGGCCCTCGCTGCACTACTCTGAACATGCACAAACGACAAAAATATTATCGGTGTATCTGTCCATTTTCTACGAGAAGATTCACTCTCGTTTTGCACATTTCGAGAGTAGTGCAGCGAGGCCCTAGGTCCCAGTGTGTATGCCCTCAATTGGAATGGAATTTAAGTTTTCTCCCCAAAAAAAAGAAAAACAGGAAACATTGAAGAATGCTTGACAGTTCATGGAGTGAACCTCGAGTTGCGATGCAGCTAGCACTTCTCCTTTCGTTCCCGTCTGTCCCTGATGCGCGCCTCGATGCGCGCCTGTGCCTTGGCTTGTGAGACGCATCCCAGGTACGGACAAAAAAAAAAAAACCGAGAACAAAAAGCGTTGCGCCGCGTACCCTTCGAGGGAACACCATGAATGCATACACAGGCGCATTGCTGACGCCGGGAAGCACTGCTGTTGTCCTCCTTCGCAGACAAAAAAGCGACAAAGACGAAAACTCTTCGAGGCGCCGCTATCCTTCATCGCGTCCGCTCCATTAAGTGACAGACAGAGCACCAAAAGACCCGCGCTTTTTCAACGTAAAAAGGCAGTGTCTCCAGTCGAGAAAGCATCGATCTCGTCCTCCTCGCAGTCTCCGACCAGAGCGTGTGTGTCGCCACACCAGAGCGTGTGTGTCGCCACGGTGCCGGTCGGTCCTGTCGCGTGTTCCTTGCGGGTGCGTAGTTTGACTGCGTTGTTAGGTTGTGGTTATCGGTGAGCGGSAAACGCGAGGAGCACAGCGGCGATGGCGAGCCAGCGGACTACCGCCGACCTGAGCGACCTGGTCCCTCGCCCGGAGAAGCTTCCGGAGCTCACTCGGCTGCACAGCATGACGGATCGTGTGAAGGGATCCATCGCCGAGTACCGCAACCAGATCGTCCTGCTGTTGTCTCGCTACGTGGCGAACGGGAAGCACATGCTGCAGCCGCACGAGCTCAGAAGCGAGCTGGACCGCGTTGCCGAGCTGGAGTGCTTCGCCGGCACGCAGATCAAGGAGAGCGCTTTCGCCAAGCTCCTGCGAGGGACGCAGGAGGCAGTCGTCGTTCCTCCTTACATCGCGCTGGCAGTCCGTCCTCGTGTGGCGGAATGGCAGTACATTCGAATCAACGTGTTCGAGCTCACGGTGGAGCARCTCAGCCCGTCGGAGTACTTGGAGTTYAAGGAGCGYGTGAAGGCTACTGACGATGWGGCGCCTCCAGTTTGCAGCGACTTCGCCACGCTGGAGATCGACATGGAGCCATTCAATGCCAGCTTCCCGAGAATGACCCGTCCTTCGTCCATCGGGGAGGGTGTGTCTTACCTGAACAAGCACCTGTCCACTCGGATGTTCAAGGAGGATGGCCTTCAACGTCTGCTGGACTTTCTGCGCACCTACAAGTGCGTGGGCGAGACGCTGATGCTGAACGAGCGCATCGACACGCTCGAGAARCTCCGCTGCAACCTCGCCAAGGCGGAGGAGTACCTGGGAGCGCTCCCTGGCGACACGCCCGTCGGGAGCGTGGCCACCAARTTGCAGGAGCTGGGCTTCGAGCGCGGTTGGGGTGACACCGCCGAGCGGATCAAGGAGATGCTGGTCATGCTGTCGGACCTGATTCAGGCGCCTGGTGCAGATCTGCTGGAGAGGTTCCTGGGCCGCCTCCCGCTCGTCTTCAATGTTGCCATCATGTCGCCTCACGGCTACTTCGGGCAGGCGAATGTCCTCGGCCTTCCGGACACCGGAGGGCAGGTGGTGTACATCTTGGACCAGGTGAAGGCGCTCGAACGAGATTTGCTGAACCACAGCAAGCAGCAGGGGCTGAATTTCAAGCCTCAGATCATCGTGCTGACCCGGCTGATCCCTGACGCCCAGGGAACGGCCTGCAATCAGCGGATCGAGAACATAGACGGCACGCAGTACTCGAAGATCCTCCGTGTGCCCTTCAAGAACCCCAAGGACGGGAGYGTGCTGCGCAAGTGGGTKTCYCGYTTCGAYGTYTGGCCCTACATGGAGCAGTTCACGGAGGACTCCGTRCACGAGCTGCGCGCTGAGTTCGGCGGCAATCCCGACCTCATCATCGGCAACTACAGCGACGGCAATTTGGTGGCTGTCCTGCTCGCGCACAGGCTGAAGGTTGCGCATTGCACGATCGCCCACGCGCTGGAGAAGACCAAGTACCCCAACTCCGACCTTAACTGGAAGGAGCTGGATGAGAAGTATCACTTCTCCTGCCAATTCACTGCGGATCTGATCGCCATGAACCACGCCGACTTCATCATCACCAGCACGTTCCAGGAGATCGCCGGTAGGGCGGACACTGTGGGGCAGTACGAGTCGCACCAGGCATACACCATGCCCGGGCTGTACCGCGTTGTGAACGGCATCGACGTGTTCGACCCCAAGTTCAACATCGTCGCCCCYGGCGCCGACGCCGACACTTACTATCCGTACTACATCAAGGAGAAGAGGCTGACGGCGTTCCACCCTGAGATCGAGGAGCTGCTGTACGGGCAGACCGAGGACGACAAGCTGTGCCGCGGCGTGCTCAAGGACAGGAGCAAGCCCATCATCTTCACCATGGCGCGTCTGGACAAGGTGAAGAACCTGACGGGTCTGGCGGAGATGTTCGGCAAGAGCCCGCGCCTGCGCAAACTGGTCAACCTGGTCATCGTGGGAGGCTACATCGACCCGTCTCTGTCCATGGACAGGGAGGAGGTGCACCAGATCAACGCGATGCACGCCGTCATCGACGAGTACGGGCTGGACAAGGGCGACATGCGGTGGATCGTGGCGCAGAAGCACAGGATGCGCAATGGAGAGTTGTACAGGTACATTGCAGACACCAGGGGCGCTTTCATCCAGCCGGCGTTCTACGAGGCATTCGGTCTCACTGTGGTGGAGGCCATGACCTCGGGGCTGCCGACGTTTGCCACCTGTCACGGAGGCCCTGCAGAGGTCATCAAGCACGGCGTTTCGGGATACCACATCGACATGTACCGACCGGAGGAGGTGGCGGATTTGATCGCCGACTTCTTCGAGAGGTGCAAGACAAACCCCGGCGAGTGGGATCAGCTGTCCAAGGACGGACTGGAGAGGATCTACAGCAAATTCACGTGGGAGATCTACGCGGAGAGGCTCATGACTCTCTCCCGTGTGTACACCTTCTGGAAGTTCGTGTCCAACCTGGAGAGGAGGGAGGCGAAGAGGTACATCGAGATGTTCTACAATCTCAAGTACAAGGAGTGCGTCAAGACGGTGCCGCTCGCACTTGAGTGAGTCAAGAATGCAAATTCATTCATGGAATTGTAGGATTGCGCGCGCGTCGAGCTCGGGCGGTGATGGGGTTTTCATTAGCTACAGCCTACAGGGTAGGAAAAGACAATAGGAGCGCTTGCTGGCGCGTCTCTGCTCCAATTGAGAGTTTCTTGGAACTCGGTCTGGTGATCGCTTGCCACTGTTTTGCAGCTAGG